TTTTTTTATTTGAATTCTATGAATCCATAAAATTCAAATAAAAAAAATTTCAGCAAATTTGGTCAAGTGATTGTGGAGATACTTTCGCTCAAAGTTTGAATAAAGTCAAAACACCTATCAAAATTGAAGCTGCGTCCAATTTTTTTAAAAACTTTGAGCGAAGGTATCCCCACAACTACTTGACCAAATTCGCTAAAATTTTTTTATAAATTCATAGAATTCAATAAAAAAATCTTCATTGAAGTTGGTCAGGTATTTGTAGACTATCTTGTCTAGCTAACTACATATATATTGTATATATACTGTATTATATAATATACTCAATATTCAATATCAAAATTTATACTCAATATAGTATTTAAATAATTTATTTTTATTGCAATAAAATTTTTTAAAAAAAACTACCAAAGAACAACTCCAAAATCCTGAAAATAATTAATTACAAAAGAACAACTCTGAAACTCAAAAAATAATTACAAAAGAATAGCTCCAATCTAAAAGAGAATTACTAAAGAACAGCTCCAAATTGCTAAACTAAATTATTGAAAAAACTTCAAAGTAAATTATTGAAGAATAGCCCCAAAATGCCAAAGTGAATTACTAAAGAATCAGCTCCAAAACACTAAACAAAATTACCAAAGAACAATTTTAAATCACCAAAATGATTACTAAAAAAGGTCCAAATTGCCGAAGTGAATTGCTGAAGTGAATTGTTGAAAAACAGCACCAAAACTTCAAGTGAATTATTGAAGAATAGCTTCAAAACACTGAAGTGAATTATCAAAAAACAGCTCTAAGATGCAGAAGAAGCTATTTAAATTATTAGAAGCGAAGCTGAATTAATAGTAGACTCTTTAGGAAAACCAAAGTGAAGAGAATTACCAAAGAACAACTACAAAACACCAAAATAAATAACTAAATAGCTCAAGAATTCTTAAGAAATCTACCAGATAACAGCTCCAAAACACCAAACAAAATTAACAAACCACCAAGTTGGTTTACTAAAGAACAGCTTCAAAATATCAAAGTGATTTACCAAAGAACAGCTTCAAATTGCTGAAGTAAATTATCAAAAAACAGATCCAAAACTCCAAAGTGGACTACTGAAAAACAGCTCCAAAATATCGAAGAAACTGTTTGATTTAATAGAAGCAAAAGCTGTATTAATAGTAGATTTTTTAGGCTAAAACTAAACTGACAAAAAAATTATCAAAGAATAGCTCTAAAACACCAAAGTGAATCACTAAAAAATACTCAAGAATCTCCAAGAAACTTACCAGACAGCTCTAAAATGCCAAACAGAATTACCAAACCACCAAGTTGTTTTACCAAAGAACAGCTCCAAAATGCCAAAGTGATTTAGCTCCAAACTGCTGAAGTGAATTATCTAGAAACAGTTTCAAAACTCTGAAATGAATTACTAAAGAATAGCTTCCAACCTTAGAGATAGCTACCGAAGAACAGCTCCAAGAAACTATTTTATTTATTAAAAGCTAAAACTAAATTAATTGTAATTTTTTAGAAAAAAACTATTAGAGAACAGCTTCAAAACACCAAAGAGAAATATCAAAAAACCTACCAGAGAATGATTCTAAAATGTTAAAGAAGACTAAAGAGAACAAAACACCAAAAAGAACTGACAGAAAAGACTGAAGAAAACTGCTAAAAAAAATTTTCGAAAAAAGCTCTTTGATATTTTGAAGCTGCTCTCTGGTAGAACTACCAAAGAATAGCTCCAAAACGTTAAAGAGAACTACCAGAAAATAGCTTCAAATCATTGAAGATAACTACAAAAAATATAAAGTTAGCAAAAAGAAAAAAACTATGCTAAATTAAAAAAAAAAATCCAAAGTACCAACTAAAAGCACAAACGAAGAAAAAAAATATTGTTGTATAAAAATAGAAACAATAAAATTTCTATATATAGTACCAATCAACACTTTGTCGCTTATGCGGCTCATATGACTTATGTGACTTATGCAATTTATCTGATGTACAAATTCGAGATAATCAGATTTTATCATGTGATTTTCTTGCCTTTTGATTGGGTAGAAGGCCAGAAATACATAAGTTATATATCTCTAGCTAAAGATGCCTAGAATTTCTCTACTTGTTTATTATAAAATTTACTTTCAAACCCTAATTCTAAGTCTAAAAAAATGCTAAAAAAATGCACCCAAAAATTTGTATTTTTTGGTAACTTGTCTATTTTACACTATTGCTTATTTTATTTTAATCTGATTTTATTTTAATCTGCTACAGTAATTGTTAAGAAACTGATACTTATTATGTAAATATAATTTCTTCCAGAGTCAGCTATTTGATAATTACAAGTTCTAAAGTAATCAGAATGTAAACTTTATATTATTGCTTATTTTAGAGCTTGCAATTGTCAAAAGATTGATTATTTTAGAACTTGTAATTGTCAAATGACTGTCTCAGAGAGGATTATATTTATGTAATAAGTATCAGCACCCTTATAATTATAAAGATTATTTTAATTAATCTTGATGATTAAAAAATAGCTTAACTGTTGTAAAATCATGTTGAGGAGCTGCAAGTCAAATTGACTATTCGAATTTGACATAACTATATTACTCTACTATAAATTATCTTGATTTGTCTCTTTTTACTTCATATTCTTATTTATATTTCTTAAGCTTTATTTATTTATACAATTAGATATTTAATATAGAAATAAAAAATTCTAAATATGTATTTTTAGAAATTATTTTCAAATTAGTATATCTCTAACAGAAACTAAATAAAGCTTTATAATCTTAATTGATAATCCGCCAGTCACCTGAAGAGTGATCATTAGGGTTGTTAATGGAGTGGAGTGGAGTGGGTTGGGTTAAAATCAGATGGAGCAAGCCTTGCTCCAACCCAACCCGGGTTATATTTCAAATTAACACTCCGGGTTGTACTCCAGGTTGTACTCCAGGTTGGTGCTCCGGGTTAATGCTCTGGGTTATAAAAATAATTTGCTCCAGAGCACTCCATATGGAGCAACCCGGGTTATATTTCAAATTAACACTCCGGGTTGTACTTCAGGTTGTACTCCGGGTTGGTGCTCCGGGTTAATGCTCCGGGTTATAAGAATAATTTTGCTCCGGAGCACTTCATATGGAACAACCCGGGTTTTGCTCCAGACCACTCCAACAGAAGCGACCAATCAAATTCGTAGATTATTCTGATATAGTCATACAATCGATAAATCATTTTTTTTATATGTTTTACAATACTTCTTTTAAAAGCTCAGGTAGCTTAACTTTCTATAAAACGAGAGTAAATTTAACAGATGAATTCATGCCTTCTCTTCGCCTTATAACAATTCTTTAAATCTTCATGAATCCCGTTGCTTTTTTTTTTACAATTTGATCAGATCACCATTACAATTTTATATGAGTACCGTCAAGAGAAAACCTGTCATCAGGCTTTCAATTTATTTCGTACCAGATACAATTTCTAATAAATTAGATTATATCTGGTACAAATATCATTGAAAGTCTGATGACAGGTTTTCCTTTGATGGCACTCATAAAATCGCCTATTCTAGCTTTCCGAATGATATTATTAAGCTGTTCGAGATTTCTATTATATTCAGATAATAAATACAGTGAAACTTCCATAAATGCACCCTCTATAAATGCTCTCTCTCTCTAAATGCATGCTCAACATCTGGCCCAAATATATGCGTGATCTCTATAAATGCACTTTTTCTAATTGCACGATGTTAAAGTTCAGTCCCCCAAGTGCGTGCATTTATAGAGGTTTCACTGTAGATTTGCAATATGTTTAAAAGAACTCTAATGAACTTACCAAAGAAAAAAGCTGTAAGAAACTGAAATAACCTGCTCATGACAATGATATGGCATAAGATGCAAAAATGAAATATGAAGCTTTTTTATTTTCATCAAATAAATTATTACAGTGAAACCTCTATAAATGCATGCACTTGGGACTAAACTTTAACATCGTGCATTTAGAGAACAATAAGAAAAAGTGCATTTATAGAGGTCACGCATATATTTGGGCCAGAGGTTGAGTATGCATTTGGAGAGAGTGTGCATTTATAGAGGGTGCATTTATGGAGGTTTCACTGTATATGAGTGAAGTCAAAATTCTAATGTGACTAGCTATTTCAAATGATCGATGAAAATTTAGAGCAACCTGGATTATAAGAAAATTTTGCTCCAGGTCACTTCATATGTGGAGTAACCCAGGTTATAAGAAATAACTTTGCTCAGGTTACTATATAATTCTTAAAATCTCATCCCATTTCAACCTTAAAATGGAGTATAACCCGGAGTACGTTGCTCCATTAACAACCCTACTTTATGGTATAAGATATATTTATTTGTAAAATTGTTCAATATAATAATATTTAAAGTGTTTTTCAAATTACCGTAATTGTTAGTTCATCGCCTATAACAAAAATCTTTAAATTCATATAAATATTTATATTTTTATAATTCTCTATTTAAAAAATAATCAAATGATTTTTCATCATATTTTCTATTTAAAAAATAATTCAATGAGTTTTCGCTATATTCTCTATTTAAAAAATAATCCAACGATTTTTCGCTATACTTAATATATACTAGATCTTGTAGTGCAATAAAGATTTTATCTAAATTTTACAAACTTTAAATGAATATATCTTCTTATTTTCCATATTATAAGCTACTTTCAATTCTATATACTAGTAGTATTCAAAGATGTCTTTAAATGTTGAAATTTATCAGACTATGATTAAGAAATCTCGAACTTGGACCTTACGATAAAAATCAGTTGGTGTTTAATAGATTCCTAGTTTCTATAATATAGTATAAAATTTGTTATTACAGTAATTCAAAAAGCACTATAATAAAGTTACTAAGAATGTATTAGATTAGCTGAAATCAGGTTACTAGCCTATCCCTCTTCTAAAAATTTACGATATCAGCTAATATCTAACACTTTCTTAATAATAAATATATATATATGTAGTCAAAATGTTATATTTCAAGAAGAAAAAAGCTTTCTATATCAAGTTCTTTTTCATTTTTGTCACGCACTTGCTGAATCCAGCTTTTAAGACACATGACTGCACGTGCAGTATCTGGTTTTAAATTACAACAAATTTTAGTTATAGTATTTGCTGCCATAGAAAAAGCCTGTTCTGAAAGCACGCTTGAACCCTGAACACTTAAATAGCATAATGCCATACTTGCAAGAATTGGAAAATCTTTACCAAAATGGTGCCACCAATCTAACGAATTTGTATTAGGATCAACTGGAATTGCAAAATATCGAGTAATTTCATCTTCAACAGTTACTTGTTCAGAATTTTGTTCGGAAATTAAAGATTCAAAAAATGACCGTTTGTTTTCTTTTGATTGTAAATTTATATTAGTAGATTGAGCATCATTTTTATATAATTCCATTCTGTTATGCAAAAGTGCTATAGCTCTATCACGCTTATTAATATCTTTAAAAGTCTTAGTCTTAGATCGTGGATCTAACAAAGCTCCAATTGTTGTTGATTCATCAACACACTCCCAATATTCTTGAAGTTTAAAATTAATTGAATTTGCCACCATACATTCGCTCAAAGAAGTATCAGGGTGAGTTTCAAGAAAAAATTCTAAATGTCGCAATAAATCAATTATAGTTAATCTTACATCACTTATAGTAGGATACGTTGAAGTTGATAATATTT